CTGCAGGAGTTATGGGTCCTGAATTTGGAATACATTCTATAAGTTAGCCCATTTGAGGTACCTTGGTTTAAAAATTGTTGGGTGATATACCATTTTGCGCAGCTAAAGATTCTGGGAATGATAATTTTAGTAGTATATAGATAGCTAAATGAGCACCTTGAAAGGTTTATATAGTAGAGTCAGTGTGAAGCCAGTTTGGTGTAGTGGTCAAAGCATTAGGTAAGAAACTGGGAGACTGTGAATTCTATTCCTGTTGTAGGCAGAAAGCAAGTTGGGTAACTTTGGGCCAATCATTTTCTTTCAGCGCTAGGAAGGATGCAATGGCAAACCACTTCTGAAAAACCTTGCCAAGAAAACTACGGAAACTTGTCCAGACAGTTTGAGAATTGGACACCATTGAATAAAAGAAAAAAAAAAAGGAGTCAGTGCAAATGAGAAAGCCATACAGTTGCATGCTTCATAAGACTCTTTGAAAACTGCACTTTTCAAACATTATTTGAGTTAGCACTGGACAAAGTGAAGTTCAGAAATCTAACTTAAATTCCGTTAAGACATGCATGGACATAATTAGATTTGTCTGCAATAGGTATAGTTGTAAAATAGAAAACTCTGTGCAAAACTTTACCTAGTTTACCTACTGTAAAGTTACATCTATGTATATATCCAAACAGCTCCTTTCAAGAATAATTATGCCTACCATCTTGCTGAAAGGGGACTCTATCTTTGTATTAGGATGGGTAGTGGCAGTGGCAAGAATGTCCCAGATTAAAGAGATGATGCCTTGTTGTTGTAGCTAGCTATTAATGGTCAACCTTCAAATCAGAATTTGTATTTCTGTGTTTTGCATATTCTTTGAAAACAGATGCGGTCAGACACTTGAAATTGAATTTAGATGGAGATATATATTACAAATGCAGATGCTATATGTTCCAGATTTATAGTTCAGTATTTAAACAAATTTTTATTAGCCTAATTCAGAAATAACCATCTTTGATCATTACCTAAAGAAGCATATCTCTCTCTAGACCTCGTGTCCATACTTAATTAACCATAATTATTTAAAACACATTAGAAATATAGTAGATTCTTATTCTTAATCCTTACAATAAGTCATACTTCCTTGAATTTGATTTAATCTCTACTCCTCCCCACAAGAACATTTTGTCTCACATAGAAAAGAAGAAATGTTGCACTTGTGACATCCAGGGACGTTTATTAATACTGAATCAGAGTTTGTTACAGCCAAAGTAGGCCATGTTCTGCCTTCCTGTTTAAATGATTGTAGTAATTAAAACAAAGTAAATCTCTGTTTTATTGGTAAAATGACCAGAGTTTTCAAAATTTCATTATTTGCTTAGTAAGCCTTAAAAGATTGATGTACACACACTAAATTATAGTTTAATGTATGTTATATGGAATCTATTTGGCATGTGGTTCTTTAATTTTTGAAGTTCAGCCTTTGAAATAAATAGTATACAGTATTTTATTCTAAAGTAAAATTTCCTTTGAGTTTCAACTTTCCGATGATTTCATCAGAAATCAAGATTGCATTCCTATAGACTTCTTGGCAACAACAAGGAATACAAATGCCATTGTATTCCTCTATTGGGAACATGCGTATTTCACTTCCCAATCTAGGGAACAGGTCTAGCAACAGAACTTCTAAGGCAGACTCTATTTAATTCTCAAGCCTTGATAACACTGGCTAAATAAACCCAGCTACCTGCTAAGAGACATTTTATTGTATACCTGTGAAACCAGGTGGGGAAAAAAAAGATACCTACCTCAGAAGAGTAATTATTATGCTGAAGACAAATTGATAGTTCCCTAACTGGATGACAAAGACAATTCAGACTACAGTGCCAGCTTTTTAGCATTTGAAAAACTTAACACTATGTATTTTAAAGAAGGATGTGTTAAATGAGTTACTGATTAATCTCACTTATGCACTGGTTATATGTTCAGTTATTTCTGGCTCTTTGTAACCTGATGGACCCCAGGTAACCAGTTATCTTAATGTCTTACAATTACAAGCCACCTTCATAAGTTATGTTTCTAAATGTGTTCGTTTCTGTAAAGCATGATTGAGGCTAACCAAATTTAAAATTGGGTATAATTTTTCAGTTATAAGTAGAAACAAGTTTCTTATCTTCTTGAAGCTGTATTGGAGGATGAGAGGAAAGCAGGGTGCATGTAGTTACAACTCATTCATATAGTGTTCTGTAAATGTAGCTGCTATTATAAATGTTTCAGGCAATTAAATGCAGTGTGTGGAAACAACACTATTAAGGGGGCTCTTACGTTTACAGAACATCCTGAGGGGGAAAGAGATAAGATGTAATATTCTCTTGATCCACATTTCATTTTTCATTGCAGGGAGTGGCAACATGGCACCTTTCAAATTTGTTAATTGCATATCTTAACATGTTTTATAACCAAGTTTTCATTTCATTTTTCATTGTGAGTCTGACAACCACTAAGATTAAAGTGGCACCTATGTATTAGTGGAATTAATACAGTTGAGTTGGAATTTAAAAACACTATTCTGTGACTTTATTTTTAAACTTAAAAGTAATTCTATTATATATACAAAAGCAAACTAAGTCACACTTATTCTAGTCAGCTACCTTGGTATTTTTGTAAGTGCTTTAAAAGCCTTTATCAGATTTCAAAAGATTGTGTTAATAATATTTTTAGGAAAAAAAATGTTAGAAACAATTGTAAGTATAAAGATTCACTGTTAATGGAATTGTATTCAGTAAAACTATAACATGGGAAAAGAGAAAATAGAAAACTTGATAAAATAAGAATTCTCCTTATTCTTTTTTATTATTACAATGCAATTTATTATAATTTCCATTGTAAGAAAGAAACAATACACAGTTCTGTGGTTTACTAAACACTGGGATTGTTACAAATTGGGATGATGCAAGATTACGTAGTACCACAATACCACAATAACGGTCTAAATTTCAATTGAGGACTGCTTGCTTTCCCCCTGGTATTTATAGGTTCTTATTTCATGTTTGAGTGTGAATTTGTTAAATATTCTTAACAAAGAAAGTTTGGCCCCAGTAAAAAAATAAAACTCTGTTGCATATTCAGAAGTAATTCCCATTTGTTTCTTATTCCCTTTTCTTTAAAAAAACAAAAAACCTGAAAAATAATTTCTCCAAAGTTTCTATAAAGAATGTATTTCACCAGTCTTATGGATGCTGAATAAAATCTAGGTTTGTTTTTTTTACTATGAAAAGAATAGCTTGTTGGCAGTATACTTTAGTTGGCAGAGTGTTTAACTTGCGTGTAGTATTTTGCTGGTTTGGGTGGGATTTTTTTTTTAAAGTATAAACTATGGCTTGTAAATTTGAATGTAGAAGCCATATGTATATTGTAGTGGGTGTAAACCATAATGGTGTTGCAGAAGCTATGGATCCTGGTATTCTAGCTCTCCATCTCTCTTCCCATACCTTCATCTTAGGAGCAAAATTTCTGTTAAATGTTAAAACATGTTAAAATTTGGAGATCTGTAAATTATAGACCAAATGTTGCAGTGCCTTTCTGTGAATAGATTATATTGTAGTACATTGATTAGAGTTTCGATCTAATCAATTCACCAACAAACAAAGGGGAATGGTAGTTTTTACAGATTCCTTGCATCTTTCATAGTATTCTTAATGATCCTCCAACTTTTGGACCTGGAGTACAGGCTATATAGAGGTGGAATTGCTAAAAATCACTTTTCCTTTCATGGAGACAGTAGGTCTACTGAGTCTGTTATCTAAACATAAGGTTACAATCTTAATACCCACTAAATTCTAACAGACAATGTTAATTGCCAGTGTTGCAACACAGTCAATACAGGTAGTCCTCAAATTAACAACCACAATTGAGCCCCAAAATTATGTTGCTAAGGGAAACATTTGTTAAGTGAGTTTTGTCCCATTTTACGACTTTTCTTGCCACAGTTGTTAGTGAATCATTGCATTTGTTAAGTCAGTAATAGTTGTTAAGTGAATCTGTCCTCCATTGACTTTACTTGTCAGAAGGGCGCAGAAGCTGATCACATGACCCCAGGTCACTGCAACCATCATAAATATGAACCAGTTGCCAAGCACCTGAATTTTGATCATGTGACCCCCCAGGGATGCTGCAACGGTTGTAAGTGTGAAAAATGTCCATAAGTTATTTTTTTCAATGCCATTGTAACTTTGAACGGTCACTAAATGAACTGTTATAAGTCGAGGACTACCTGTATATGTTACCCAATGTTGCTGCTACCAAGTCTACATCATCTCTGTATAGTCTCTCTTTTTGGTAACTCTTAAAATATTTGTGTTAGCAGGTACATCACCTGGCTAAACTTATCTGGGTTTGAAAGCTAAGTTGGGTGTGCCTGGTTAATACATAGATGGGATTTTTATCTTGTATTATGTTGATGACCTCTGAAAAGTAAAAAAGGTGGTTTGGGAAGCTAGTTCAGAGAATAGATGGCTCATATTCGTCCATTTGTATAGTAGAAGGTAAACAATGCTGGGAGAATCTACAGCAGGGGTGTCAAACTCTTTCATTGAGGACTGCATTAGGGTTGTATTTGACCTTGGGCTGGGGTGGGTGTGGCCAGAGTATGCATGGCCAGCATGACATCACTTGTGTTGGGAATAGCCTGTGATGGCCTGAACGCTCTGCCAGCGAAAACAAATTCCTAAGCTCCGTTTTCGGCTGGGACAGCCTCCTGCAATCCTCAACCAGCAAAAATGAAGTTTAGGTGGGTCCACACACAACCCCCACGAGCTCCGTTTTTTGCTGGCAGAGGCACTGCGGGGCAGTCCTTTGGTATATCCGAGGTGGCCCTGCGAGTCAGATTTAAGCACCCCATGGGCCGAATCTGGCCCCCCAGGCCTTGAGTTTGACACCCCTGCTCTTCAGGTAGTATTGCAAAAAATTTCCTTTAAGATCTGAACAGCTTGAAGAAGAAAGACTGATGTGTAAGATACTTTATTTTTATTAAAAAGTAAAATTATCTTCCCCAGAGCAAATTCGTTTAAAGAATTTAAGAAAAGTTTACGGAAGATGCCTGTGGTATCGATTGCGATTGTTAAAGCCCCAGCAGAATATAATGCCTACAATAAAGTAAGTATAATAGGATTTCTATTTTATGGGGTGGGGTTTTTTAAAGAATTTTAATAAAAGCAGATTATTTCAACATTATAAAATATTTAGAAAAATGATAAGATCAGCATTTTACCAATAACTCCTAGGAGATGTTAATGCATTTTTAATTGTAAAGAAACTGAAAATTATTCCCAAGTCATGGATTGAATTTCAGGTAATGAATCTATTGAGCCTCCAAAATGCAGTTGGGTGGGGATTCACAGTTCTTCCTGCTTTGGGGAAAAAAGAAAGATGTTTCTGTGATGCAGTATTTTTTAAAATTATATTGTGGAAACCCTAGAATTCTTTATAGGTTGAGGATTCCTCAGTGGGAAGTGGGAAACTTCACCCAACAACAACAAAAAGCCAACCCATCAAGCAGCTTATCTTATGGAGAATTGTTGGGTATACAGGGAGTCTTGACTTACAACCGTTAATTTAGTGACCATTTGAAGTTACAACAGATTTGAAAAAAAGGGATATGACTGGTTTTCACACTTACAACCCCATAGTCACGTGCTCAAAATTTGGGCACTTGGCAACTGGCATCCCAGGGTCATGTGATCATCATTTGTAAGCGTCTGACAAGCAAAATCAATGGGGAAAGCCAGATTTGCTTAAAAACTGAATGATTGACTTAACAACTACAGTGATAAAATGAGGTGCAAACTCATTCAACAACAACTTCCTTGCTTAGGAACAGAAATTTTGGGCTCAGTTGAGGTTGTAAGTTTAGGACTACCTGTATGGTTTTATTATCCAAGACTCATCAATTAAGCTGAGTGCCCATTATAAATACTGGATGGGGCTGTAGAATATTGACATACTTGTATACTATAATTCCTTTGGTTTTGAGAGATGGCTAGAGATTATTTTGGTTACTGTTTCCTATGATGTTAAGTCTTCTTTAAATGTACCCAGATATTTTTATTGCATGGGATTTCCCCTGCCAAAATTTAACTATTTAAAATTGCTTTCTCTTTCACTTTCAATTTTACAGAAAAGGTGTGTTGCTTGCTGGATGGGCACTGTTTTTGTTTCTTGCTTACAAAGTGTCCAAAACAGACCGAGAATATCAAGAATACAACCCTTATGAAATACTACAGTTAGACCCAGTAAGTAGCACCATTTTTCAGTATTTAAACTAAATTTGACACTAAATATTCCATTGAGGGCTCTCAATGGAATATCACATTCTAAGTCTATATGACTATTCTTCACTCCACAAACCTTCGTAAAACAGATTAGGAACACATGGAAAAGGGAGGAAGGGAAATTGGTTCTGCCAGTTGGGTTTGTCTCATGACAAGAGCCAATAAATAGTCAGTAGAGAAATGCTTTTTTTTATTTATTTGAAAAGTCATGCCAGGTAAGACTAAATGTAAACGATATATTACATTTTAAGTATTTCATTTTTGAGTTAGTCACATTTTGAACTTTTGACAAAGGCTCTTGTTTGAAACTACATTGAATATCTGGCACTATTTCATAAAATGATGTAAATATACAAACAATATATTTACCAAACAATGCCATTTGGTATTAAAACATAGAACTGCTTTCCTAGCATAAAGAAAAAGCCTTATAAATTAAATATATTTTTAAAAGTTTTGTTAAAAAATAATCCTCCTATGAAGCAGTGATGCATGTCTCTGAAATTATAAATGGCATTCACTTGTGCCTGTCCATGTGAGGACTTTTTTGCACCTCCAGTTGTAATATGAGGAAGTAAACCGTTGGTTCTTCTTCCACGTTAACAGAAATTGGAGAACACTCCAAGATAATAAAAAAAAAGTGGGACAATAGGAAGAAAAAAAGGAAGTTAGCAAACAACAGCACAACATAAAAGCGTTGGGGTTACTTCATCATATCCTCTTCTGTAATTAGAGGAATCTTCTAGATAAAAATTCTATCTGCAAATAGAAAGAAAAGAACAAGTTACAGTTTTACAATGGTTATGTAATTTAATATGCTGATAACCAAAATTATTTGATAGTGGAAAGCAAACTTGTATAAATATTCTTTTTCAAAGTTGAATTGTTTATTTAAATGATCCATTTTTAACAGGCACAGGTCAATTGAATTCAGTTTTGCCTTTGTTTCTGATTTCCTATATTTATGTAGGAATAGAGGCCATTGAACAATTTGGTAGTTATTTAAACATTTGGAGCATTTTTCATTTCCTTAAAGTTGCATATATAAACACTTTCAAAACAATTCTCAATGCTTGGGGCTTACCAGATAGAATTTAAAATTTGCTTTATAAACTTTAAAGAAAGCAGTGTTAACAACAGCAACAGATTAGAGGGATCATATCTTAGAATTTCCATTGGATTAGATCTATTTTGGGACTGTCAGAGCTTTAGATGTCAGGACTACATGTAGTGCTTACTGAACAACCATTGGTTTACAGTGGCACTGAAGAATAGCTTACAATTGGTCTGCACAACTGTCACAGGGGCTCCGGAGTCACCTGTTCCCTCAAGAACCAACCTGTTGCAACAGCCTATGGTCACATGATTGCCATTTGTGACTTTTCCAGCTGGCTTTCGACATGCAAAGTCAATGGGGAAGCCAGAAGGAGGTTGCAAGTCATAGTTGCATGATGATGTCTCGCTTAATGACCATTGATGGTTCTCTTAAAGATCATGGCTAAAAGGTTGTAAAATTGAGTGTGGTTGTATGATGTCTCACTGAATGACCATATCACTTAACAGTGATTTTTCTGGTCCCTATTTTCATGTGGTTGTATCGCTGTTGTTTTACTGGCTTTCTAATGATTCTAATAAGTTGTAGCTATCTCAAATGATTGTCTGGGTATAATAATTGAAAGTGGGCTATGAAGCTAAATTTTACAGTAATTCGGACAAGCCAAAGGTCTTTTCCAAGTAGTATATTATTAGTATGTTGTGAATAATCAGAAACAAGATGTACTTAATTCAGTGGAAGCTACTTTCAGGTAAGTGAAGGTGATTGTATCCCTTATGTATTTCAAATGATTAATTTGAACCTCTTATTTTAATAGGGTGCAACAGTGTCAGAAATTAAAAAGCAATATCGTTTGTTATCGCTGAAATACCATCCAGATAAAGGTGGCGATGAGGTTATGTTTATGAATATTGCTAAGGCTTATGCAGCGTAAGTTTCTTAAGTTCTGTTGGGGGGGGAATGTTATTGTAAGCAACAACTAATACCATTTTCTATATGTTTCAGCCAATTTCTCTACTTAAAACAGTTGTTACAATACAGAATTGATTTTGTTTTCTTCTAAATTGATTTGTGATTCTGGTTTATAAAACAAGCAAAGATCTAAGGCTTCCTAATCATTTAGAGTAGATTTCCAGTCATATAAAGGCTTCAGAGGAAAAGAAAATCAGTTGATTATAAATTATTTTCTCCCTTTTGTCATCAGAAGTGCTCATTTAGACCTCAAAGGAGCTTTTTATCATTGGGAATAATGCTGGCTCACTCCCATTTCAAACTACGATTTTTCATTTCTTGTCCTATTTAGTTTGTTATCAACAGAAGTTATTGTTAGTAATGGCTACATCTTGGTGACATTCTTCTGTGCTGTTCTTGTATGTATACACTGCCATGTCTGTCTGCTGTGCTGTTTTCGTATGGATCATCCTGAGGATTTGAAGTTTTTATGTGGCAAATTTTAAAGCTTTGCTTTGAGCAAGGATAACGTGCACCCTTGAAACAAGCTTTCTAACACAATTGTGCCTCTTATTTTGTAGTTTAACTGATGAAGAATCTCGAAAAAATTGGGAAGAATATGGCAGCCCTGATGGACCACAAGGTAATTCTATAGTTTATTGTACCAAATCATAATTTATGTAGCATCCTGACTTTTGCTCTGTAATTTATTCCATCAGTAACAGTTTTCATTTTGTATAGTGTGTTTGTACACTAATGTCATTTATCTTTGTAGCTAAGTATTTATGAGACTAACTTCAATGTTACTCATGCCTCATTCCAATGTTCATTGAATAGTGATTCACATTAGTGAATCCCATTATCCAGAGATCCAGCTTCTCAAACGTTTAATACATTTATTGGCTTGTTAGATTACAATCCTGCATAGAAATGTTGTCTAATTTCTCTAATTTACATTTTTGCTTGCTACATGGGAATAGCAGTTCTTATATACATGCAAAATCAGGCTGAATTCTGAACATTACCAGACCAAAATTTCATGTTATGAGAACATTCTGGAGAATTTGAAATATTTCAATTTCAGTGTAAGATCTATTGTAAATTCATAGCTACTGATATTTCCAAACCAATTAACAGCTTTTCTTGGAATAATTATAGAGCTTCCACTCCCTATGGGTGAGTTGAAGAGAAGTTGTTTACATAGGCATGAAAGTTAAGGTTGTGTTGTCCTGAGTTGGCCTCAACAGCATGATGAACTTGCCATAAAGTTACTCTTCACAGTAAGCTATCCAGTTATTTAGAGGTTAAAACCAAACTGAGTATGCATAATCCGTTCAGTTTGTATATCTTCATCAAGAGCATAATATTTACAGTTGTCCTTACATCCTTCTCGGGATTAGGGATATTTCTTTAAAAGTGATCTCACAAGGTTGCCTCTCAAAATGGATGGGATTGTCTTGTTAAATAGAGAACAGTTTGCCACTTAGCACTTAGCTTGGGTTGTACTTATCTTTCAGGTCATCTATACTTTTACAAATAAATAAAGCTTCTTTTCATACAGTTGGGTACCTCTTGATTTTAAAAGAACCTTGTCCTATCTGTGGAGAAATGTTTATCTCCTCTTAAGATCCCACGCAGATTAGAGCAAGATTATTCTTGTAATTAGTTCAGCATCCACGTATGCACCATAGATAGAGCTTATTTTTTAAAAAAATAAGATTTCCTTTAAAAAAAATAAGGGAAAGGTTTGGTTGAAAAGATGTATAATTTACCCAACTTGTATGACTGAAGAAATGTATGTATGTTGACTATATTGCTATATTTTGTAACCTATTTTTCCATGTTTCTTGCAGCTACAAGCTTTGGAATTGCATTGCCAGCTTGGATTGTGGATCAGAAGAATTCTATTTTGGTAAAGCAACTCCCAGTTTGGCTTTATTAAGCTGAAAGCCTTAGTGCAGTTGATAGTCTACAGAGGGTTTTTTTAATAGCCTAAATGACAGTCAATTGATGTGCGTAAACTGTTGCCAGCTTTGGGAAAGTTTGCATTTACTCCAGTTAGAGACTTGCTACAGCTTTTAATGGCACTTTAAAAAGTGCACTTTTCCTATGATTTAGTTATGGTGAGTCTTGGAGGCTTTCTTTTATTGCTGGGAGGCAAGCTAATGTAGCAGATTCCAGTGATAATTTGATTTTTCTTACACTGTTCTGCAAGTTTCAGATTTCTGTAAACACATTGAAACATATTCTATAAACACATTATGTTCATGTTGCCCTGCTGAAGTGAACATAAAAATACCTGCATGGCTGGGAATTCCCTCCCTCCCCCATTTAGTTTGAGGTGGTGTTGCATATTTTCCTGAGATTACTTAAAATAATCTAATCTGGTGGTTCTCGACCTTGAATGTTTTAAGATGGTTGGATTTCAACTCCCAGAATTCCTCAGTAAACATGCTGGCGGGGTTGAGGTTGAGAAACACTGGTCTTATCTATATTGCAAGATTTAAACAAAAATGCTTCAAGTAATGTGGTACTTGTTCTGAATTTACACCCACACAGCCACACAGCCACACACTTACACACCAGACATCATCTCCAGCTAGAGACACTAACTATTTTTGAAAATCAAAATAATGCTGGAAACTAAATACAGCTGTACTAGCAATTGGCTTCTTGTTGTAATATAACATTAAAGTGATACTTGTGGAGATATGTTGTTGTAACCTGTATCATGATAAGAAAGAGTGTTCTTTGTTGTTTATTTTCAGTAGTTAAACATTTGTTAAGAAAAATAGTTTCTCTTTATCAGATTGTCAATCTAGCGAGGAAAACATTGGAGTCTTTTAAAATATGACTCCATTACCTATTTTGTTTCTGAAAACTTTCTTTCAGTACTTGTTGTTATACAAAAGATGTCTCTGCCTATGTGAGCGTTTCTGATTTTATTGCAATGTTACTGATATTTCTTCTGATATTTTCTAGGTTTTGCTGGTTTATGGATTAGCATTTATGGTTATTCTCCCAGTGGTCGTAGTGAGTATTATTTTAAATTAAGGGTGAAAAGTACATTTCACAAAATATAAAGTATGTACATTCCAAATCTTGTTTTCACAAACTCAACCATCCCAACTTTATGATGATAATTTTCTAACCTGGCAATTCACATTTACATATCAGTGCCAAATTTGTGTAGCAAATTTTAAGTATGTCCATGATTATTCAGTCTCTGAGCTTTCCAATTTTTTGAAGATTGTTCATATGCTATCTAGGTTCTATTGCTGGCTAAAACAAAAGAACTAGAATTGGAATTCTGAGCTTTCAGAGATTTTGAATTTCACGAGGAAATGTTCTGTATTGCTGCACTATGTAGCTTACACCAATGTACAGAAAAATGTGTTTTGGATACTTCTTTAACATACAGATGTTGAAGCATGAAAATAGGTGCTTAGTTCTTTATGAGAAGCATTGACTGAAACTATTATTTCTTTTAATGCAAAGCATTTTAAGTTTGTTGCATTTTCTTCTTTGCAATCATTTTGATTTCTGTTTTTCCTATCTCTTGGCACTATACTTACTACATGATATAAAACTTATGCAACAGATTTTTTGTATCTTTCAACTTTTGATATTGTGAAGACATCATCTAAATTCTAAACTACTAGTGTTTCTGTAATTCATTGCTTTCACAGGAATTATGCTCTTGAAATCACAGAGCTTCAAGACTTTAGAAAGTAGTGGTATATTGACTGCATTTATGCATCATTAATATTAGTGTTTTTGTTTTAAATGACAGGGTTCTTGGTGGTATCGATCAATTCGTTACAGCGGAGACCAGATTCTCATCCGTACAACACAAATTTATACCTATTTTGTTTATAAAACCAGAAATATGGATATGAAAAGTAAGCATTTTAAACCGGTTTAATTCTAAAATATAAATTTGTGCTTTGTAGTTATTTAGAGATAGACCTGCATTCTGCAGAATATTTAAACTATGCACTAGGTTTTCTGTGGCATGCTACTTGATTTCTTGAGAAGAATGTGGGATTAAGTTACTGGGTCTATGAATGAGCTGTAACGTTTAAGGTGGAATTGGTTAAATTAAAATTTCTCTTAGGAAATTTTCCTCATCCTAGGAAGATTCTTGTGTACATTCTATAAGGCATATTGTGTTGTTATGGGAGAATCAGTTATGAGAACCCTCTTCCTCCAGCACTTGGTACAAGTAAGATACAAAGACATAAGGAATCTTTAACACCCTCTTTCTCCTAACTCCAAAAGATCCAGAAGTATTAGCTTTGTCATGGTGGCTCTAATGATATCATAAAATCATCAGCCATGTTCTTATAGACTCCAGGCACAGCAGGAGGAGGAAGTGTTTCTCACAAACTTAAAAAAAAGATGTCCACCTCTGCTTTAGCATATTGAAAATCATGCTAAATCCAAAGTTGTTCTTATTCAAGAACTGCTGCTGAAGTACAACATCAGTTCTTTCTCACATTTCTGGGACAAGGCCAGCACCCCTTGCGTCCTAATACAATTCTCTGGATAGAACTGTCCATTTAGATTTTAGCAGCTGTATGATTAGATGGAAAGAATTCTGTATAGATGCTAACATCATAGTTGGCTTTCAAATAATCTTCAGGTTTAAAAATGAAATACAAGATATCAGCTGAAGAAAGTTAAACAGGCTAAATTATTCACAAGTAAATGTAAAGAAGATACCTATTATAGGCATTCTAGTGTACTCATACAACTTTATGTTAATGAAGACAAGCAGGGTATTAATGTTGCCTGTAAATACAACATACATTGATCTGAAAAGGATGGTAACAGATACAAAATTTTAGTTGCTATTTCTTTTAATTGTCATCCATGTTGTTTTGTAAATCAATGTACCGTACTTAGGTACCATGGAGAAAGTCCCATTATAAGATTTCTGAATACCCATTCATAAAAATAGTTGTCTAAGGTAGTCTATGTTTAGTCCTTGCTTCTTTAGTGAAAGAGTTATCCTAAGGTATTTGAGTTATGCTTAGTTATTTGTTGTTGATGAGTCTCTGAAGAGAAAGTGGTAAACAAAAATCTTTCTGGGACAGAGTTTGAGAAAGTCTTTGTGTATATCTTAATACTTTTTACATATTTATACTACATTTATTTTATTTTCTGTGCAGGACTTATAATGGTTTTGGCAGGAGCTTCTGAATTTGACCCTCAGTATAATAAAGATGCAACAAGCAGACCTGTAGACAATATTCAAATACCCCAGGTTTGTTATTAGTGAAGTTTTTTCTTTGTGTGTTGGTATCGAGTAGTCTTTGACTTGTGACCGATCAGTTAATGACCATTTGAAGTTATGATCGACCCACCCCCCAAAGGTACTTACAACTTCACTCCATCCTTCCAGTGGTTGCACACCCACACAGTCATATGATCATATTTCAGGTGCTCGGCAACCAGCCTGCTTTTATGGCTGTTAGTAGCATCCTACTTCCGATTTTTGGCAAAAATCTCCCATAGTGAACAATGGGTTCACTGAATTATTGCAAGTTCACTTAATGACGACAAATTCACTTAGCCATAGTGATTTGCTTAACAACCCCACAAAATAAGGTAGAATCAGGTTGGTAATGGGATGATTCACTTTACGATCTTCACGACTTGTTACCATAATGGGCAGGCTCCATTATGATCACACGTCGAGGGCTACCTGTGTCCTACAGTTGCATTATCTTTTTTTCTTTTTCATTTTCAGCTTATCAGAGAAATTGGAAGCATTAATTTGAAGAAAAATGAACCTCCACTTACTTGTCCGTATAGCTTGAAAGCCAGAGTGCTCTTACTATCTCATCTTGCCAGAATGAAAGTTCCTGAGACACTTGAACAAGGTATTTGCTTTTGGAAACTTGAGGATTTGAAATTATCTAGTCGAATTACAAGTTTCATACTTGTTATGTATGAGCTAGTATTTGTTTTGTTGGCAAATAACTTGCTTGCTTTTTTAAGTTCACAAAAGGGACTCGAGTCTTAAATTGTGCCTTCATCACATACCTATTTTCAGTAATCAGCTACAGAAATTTGTGTTGTATCAAAAACTTCACGGATGTGACTGAACTCTGTATGTAGATATTGGATGAAAGTTACCTCTGTCCATCAATCACCGAAAAAAGTTCTGCTGGTAGAGAAATTCCTTCTTCTTCTGCAGTCTCTCAGGTGTTGTCCCCTCCCCCCCCCCAAATCTGCTGCAGAGCAGTGGTTTTCAACCTGTGGTTTGTGGACCTGGGAGGGGTCCACAATGTCATCACAGAGAATCCGCAAAAACTTGAAGAAATTTTATGATTTAAATCTTGAGTTAAGTCTTGGTGTTTCATGGCCATTGTCCGTGGTATTTAAAGGAGGTCCGTGGTGAAGAAACGTTTGAGAACCACTGCTCTACATCACTGAACAACCCCTTCAGAGCAGATTTTGAGATAGTGTGGAGATACTGTAGGTATGTAAAGGTGAAGGGAAGATGGGATGACCTTTTGCACAAACAGAAGCTTGCTTTCATGATGTCATTTGGAGCTTATCTAATGGTAGCTACATAATAAGAAAGGAAAGACTATAATCATGTATAGCATTCACTTTATGCACAGAATTATTCAGGTCTTTTCCCTTTCTTGCAGATCAACAGTTTATCTTAAAAAAGTGCCCTTCCTTGCTTCAAGAAATTGTAAATGTAATCTGCCAATTAATACTCATGGCACGTAGCCGGGAAGGTAAGTCCTAACATATATTTGAGAATACTCCCCCTGGACTACTAAAATTCTCTTTCCTATAACTTTTAACTGGGCAAACGGGTGACATGTTTTGCATCAAGGTACATCAAATGGTCTAATTTACAGAATATGTCCAAAATCCAGGACCCATTATTCCTGTGGAATCAAAATTTGGCAAATTTTATAAAACATTTTGTGACATAAAATTATAAAACATTTTATGACATAAATAAAAAATCTCATAAAATGTTTCCTGTGCTGGTGTTTGACTGCACTATACAGTTCAACATGGGCTATTTTAAAGGCAGATACATTTCTGGATGTATCACAGGTTTTCCGTGGAAGACATTGTTGAAGGCATTGAAAAACGTGGTAAGGAAATATCTCTGAAAGGATGACTCAAGGCCTCATGGTTTATCTAGTAATATTTAAAATCCTACAACCTTTCTATGGAAATAAGTAACATGTAAGGGAGAAGTAACATTGTACTGGTAGTTCTCAACTCACAACCATTCATTTAGTGTCTATTTGAAATTAGAACAAAGTTACACTGAAAAAAGTGGCTTATGATTGTTTTTCACACAACCCTTACATCATCCCCATGGCCATGTGATCAAAATTGAGACGCTGGGCAACTGGCATATATTCACTGATGGTTGTAGTGTCCTAGGATCTTGTGATCCCTTTTTGCGATCTTCTGACAAGCAAAGTCAATGGGGAAGGCATATTTACTTAGCAACCATATCACTTCCTTAACAGCTGCAGTATTCACTTAACAACTGTGGCAAGAACGATCGTAAAATGAGGCAAAATTCACCTACTTTCTCTTCACATTTGCTTAGCATAGGAAATTTTGGGCTGAATTGTGGTCATGAGTCTAGGACTGCCAGTATTTATTTTAACTTTCTTAAACAGCTGAAATTAAATTACATTTAGGCATTCTTAAACTAGAACAAGAGATCTGATAGTATTAAGGTTATTCCTTCTCTGAGTCCATTTTCCATGTTCACTGAAGTAGCTAGTACTACAGTTCTGGGGTGAACAATAGGAGGCCCTCAGTGAATGACAAATTGTTCAGTGAGCATTTGATGTTGCAATCGTGTTGAAGGAGTGGTGGTTACAACTAGTCCTTGAAACTAATATTGCAATGATGCTTAATAAGTGATGGTTAAGACTAGTTTTGAAATTGACATTGCAAAAGAAGGAATGGGTGGTTAAGACTAGTCCTTGAAATTACGTCAGTCTTGGCACTCCTGCAGTCACTTGATCCTGATGTGGGTGCTTGGCAACTGGTTGGCACATATAATGGTTGCAATCTTCCCTGCTACCTTCCCTCAAGCAGGTAAGCCTCCTCTAGCCATATCGGACACCTACACAATCTCACACACTCTGAACCTCGCCTTTGTGCTGCACCTCCAGGCCAATCACGCACCTTCCTCTGGACCCTGCTGTACGTATGCCATCTCTCCTCGGCCACTTGCACACTCGTCCTGGTCACTTGCTTACTCTCACACACTTGGGAGCAGTCTCCTGCCCCCCCTTCTCTGCTGACTTGTTTGTGAGTTGCCTGGGATTTTCTATTTTCTGCTGACTTTGGTTGTTGGAGATGGCAGGAAGTTGCAAGGAGGTGGTGGCTTATTGATGCACACTCCTTGCTTAACTACAAGCAATGTGATCACATGACATTGTGCTTTATGACTGCATTGCTTAGTTGTGGAAATTTTGGTACTGATTACCATTGTAATTTGAGTACTACCTGTACTGTGTATTGCTAATTAATGCTGATACTTGAGTATAAATATTTCCCTATGTTTCTCCTTCAGAAAGAGAATTTCGTGCTCCCTCATTGGCTTCTTTGGAAAACTGCATGAAACTTTGTCAGATGACTGTCCAAGGGCTTCAGCAGTTTAAGTCTCCACTTCTTCAACTCCCACATATTGAAGAAGATAATCTCAGAAGGGTGTCTAATCATAAAAAGGTAGAAGACATTGAGATAATCTATAGCATCTTAGAACTCATTTGATCTGTCCACGTTTTGGAAAATGTTTATTCTTTGAGACACTTGATTGATTGGTGTAATGGTTATGGAACTGGCTGGAAAACTAGGAGAAGTATGAGTTCTAGTCCCACCATAGGCATGAATGCCAGTTGGGTGATCTTGGACCAGTCTCACACACACTCAGCATAATGCCTTGAGTTACTTATAAAATAAAATGTCAGGATAAAAACAAACAAGCAAACAAACAAATACATAAAATTTTTGTCGAAAAGAGTTATATTTCAAAGTAAAAAAAAAGCCTGCAATAACTGTTGGTCCAAATCCCCAAAAAAGCAAACAGCTACAGGTAGTCCTCCATTTAAGACCACAATGGGAGTCTGGAATTTTGGTTGCAAGTTGTTGCGGTTGTAAGTTGAGGCACCAGGTTTGCAGACTTAATTTTATGACTGTTCTTATGACATTCATCGCTGTGGTTGTTAAATCAAGTGGTTGTTTAGTGAAATAATTGGTTGTTAAATGAATCCAGCCTATCCAATGGGCAGGTTTTGCCATTTTCTGCTGGAAAATGGTGAACAAAATGTCAAATTGTTAGGCGATTGGAATGTTTCAACTGATCGTTAATGCAAGCCACTTGCAAAGTGCCTGAAATGCAATTCATTCATTTATTCTCTCCCTCCCTCCCTCCCTCTGTCCCTCCCTCCCTCTGTCAGAGAGGGAGAAGAGAGACAGACATAACTTTGAGGTGTTGTAAATAGCTTTTTTGTAGTTCTTCCTTAAGCAATCTGTCATAGGTCTAGGACTACCTGTACTTGTTAAGTGTCTCAGAGTTCCTAATCATTCATTCTGATAAAACTATCACCAGCCATACTGACATTAACTTGACTTTGAATGCTAGAAAGCTACTTACTGCTGCAGACTTTTATAGTGCAAATTTACTGTCAACTGATGATGCTTAGCTTTCTGTATTTTAGCAAATGGCATTTCTGAGTATGGAAAGGTGGAATATAAAGTACATCAAAGTTTGATAATTTGAGGCTAGTAATTGAGTTGACTACGGGAGCGTGGATAGGAAAAAAGGAAGCGATATTCATTTCCCACCTCCCTGTCTCCTCTCTTTTGATCTTTGCGATTATCCAGTTGATCTTTATGTTTAATTAATTAAACATTGCTCCGTTTCCAGAGAATTACATATAGCGATTCAACATATTTTTCAATATGTTTTTGTAATAATTAAAGTAAATGCAAACTTGATGTTTGATACAGCTCATGTTCTTGATCTTTCATGTCTAATACTTAGAAATGTATGTTTTGTTTTGCTTAATGAAAACAGTACAAAATTAAATCTATCCAAGACTTGGTGAGTTTGAAAGCGTCAGATCGTCACAATTTACTACACTTTCTAGAAGATGAAAAATATGAAGAAGTCATGGCTGTCCTTGGCAGTTTTCCACATATCACCATGGATATAAAACCCCAGGGTAGGTGGAGTGTGCTGTCTTAGTGAGTTGATCAGGATTCCTATTAGCAAACTAATGCTATATATTTAATAATAATAACAACAACAACAACAACAACAACAATAATAATCGCATAATATACCAGACATCACACTGGTTGAGAAAAATAAGGTCACAATCATAGACATTGCAATACCAGGTGATAGCAGGGTCGCCGAGAAGAATGCAAAAAGCCGCACTGCTTGGATCTGCATGCATATTACGAATTATGACATCCTAGGCCCCTGGGTGGGGCCCGACTAGTCACCAATGCCAAATCCGGCGAAACAACTGGCCGCTGTGATACAATTGTATAATAATAATAATAATAATAATAATAATAATAATAATAATAATAATAATAATAGTGAATTTACACTGTTAATCCCTTAGGAATTTTGAGATCGTCTGCATTGGATATCTTAGATTTGAGGGTCAAATAAAGAGGACATAATAAGCTTCCATGTTGATAGGTTAATATGTATAAGTCTGGATAAGGTCTGTGAAAAATGTTTCAAGGTTGGAATTTCTGCAATTGCGCTATTTGCAAATATGAAACCACTCTGGCCATGGAACAGGCTACTCCAAGCACTGCTGAAGAGTTTCAAGCTTGAAAAAGCTATTCTCAGTATAAAATGCTTCCTAGCCGATGGCTTTCAAGCTTGAATAATTTAGAACAGGGACGTCAAACTTGCGTCGTCATGTGGCATATTGCAACTTTCCCTCCCTTTGCTAAAATGGGTGTGGGTGTGCCCAGCGTGTGACACATTTAGCCCACGGCCCTGATTTAGAAGGATATTAAGACAATAGTTTTGTATTTGATGAGAATGAGAATGTTGCGAAATTTCATATTCAAAATGGTTCAGAATGAACTATTCTGTGTACTGCAACTGTGATGGAACACCGCATCTGACTAAGTGTTTCTCATATAAAGCATGGCAAATTTTGACACAGCCATATTCAATTAATGCTAGCTGATGTGTAAACAACCTCTTGCCTGAGCTGCTTTCAGGAATAGGCTGAATTAATACCAGCCTGATACAGATTATAAATTAGTCATGCATAATAATGCATTTGTAGTAATTCACTGCTTGCACACAGATTTTAAGTAGAAACCTTAAAACATTTTTCTGGGTCTTATTTTCTATTCCTGTTCTTGTGTTTGTTTACTTGTCTGAGTTTTTGAACACTCATTGGGGGAGGGATATGTACAGTATGTACAGGCATGCATGCATACCCCTGTTTTGATAACATATCTTTCTCCCTAATGGGAGGAAATAAGGATTTGTTTCCCAGAATTAGCACATCAAATTTTATTTTATTTTTTAAAAATGTACCCATTAAAATAGGCTTGATTGATCAAATGGGCAGTAGTCATTCAATTCATTTTTAAAGCTAAGTACGTATAAAGCTGTAGATGTTGATCAGTATCATTTGATGAGTTCCTGTGATGAAATTTGATAATTTTTAAAAGAAAGGAACATTTTATTTGAACATCTTTCTTTTTCTTTAATCCATTAAAGCTGTTTACCTTTGCTTAATTGAAGCTCTTACTATTACTTTTTAAATATTTGTTTTTAAAGGTTAAAGGTTCGATTTTCTAAAAAGTTAAATTAAGGAATTCAATGTGATCTCTAACTCCAGCCTGCCCTTTCCATTTATGTGATTTAATGGGTTATCTTTACCTTATTTTACTATTCATTTGCAACCTAGACCATTATTCAGACCAGCCTTTCCCAATCTGTTTCCCTTCAGATACTGTACGTTGAATTTTTTAATCTGATGCCAGTTTATATGGCAGGTATAATCAATGCAGCAGTCCTGCACATCTGGTAGTCATCAGGCAAAGCCAGGAAGATACAGAACTAAAAATACAGTTTTAGATTCCTTTGTGTTTTTTTTTTTATTATAGATTGAGCTATCTAAAGCCCTTTAGTTCCAAATTAGGAGTGCACATAACAATTTGAATTCAAAATGTTTGGAATTCAAAATACCCGGCTCAAGTATGAAACGCCACATTTTGAATGCAAAACTGTTTTGAGTGCAAAGCAACTATTTCAAGACTGAAAACAGAGATGGTTCAAATATGATATAGTCCAGATTTGGAACATTTTTACACACCTTTATTCAAAAGTATGCATTTTAAGCTTTTTTTAAAAGAGGATTCTGTGCAGAGTCTTTGAAGCAGAAATTGAATATATACAAATTTGTCTTTGAGCAGCTATCAAAAGCCTCTCTTCTTATATAGTCTGGCATTCTTCCTTTGTCCTTCAATCTGCAGCTGCTTGTGATGTATCTTTAAGGTCCTTTGAGTTTTATCATTAAATGAGATGGTTGGATAAAATCCAGATGAGAGCTCAAGCTGCAAAAAATTAGCTTTTTTGAGTCATGCATTTAAAAGTTGAGTAAAACCTATTCACAAGAAAGCTATATAATTGGGGAACCTTTATTTCAGTTTTGGATGATGAAGACAGTAATAACATCACTGTAGGATCGCTAGTCACAGTTTTGGTCACCTTGACAAGACAGACAATGGCAGTAAGTATTTATATTGGTACGCACTGTTCTTGGGTTTGTTTATGCTATATCCAGTCATATCCCTGAATGCATTAAGAAGCAAACTGCATAAGGTTGTGGAATTCCCTAAGATCTTAGTTCATGCCAAAATCCCCACTTCTGGCTTTTTTATGTGATATATGAAGGGAGACTCAAAGCATGCCCTTTGTTTCAAATTAGATATACTTACTGATTACAGGATTTGTTCTAGATCCCAGTCTAATGACTCAGAAAAACAGCTCAATCTGATTTGTGCCAAATCTGAAGCTTTGTTTCCATGGACAAGATTTGAAAATATATAAATAATTATAAGGGACAAATATATTATGCCATATAGGGACAGCTAAGACCCCAAATATCATCTGATTCTGTTAAAATGTAAAACAGAATCTAATATTATTTGGGGCCTGGTTGTCCCTTCCAGATAGAATAATCCTGCAATCAAGTTTCCAGTAAATAGTTTGGTGAGCGCTTAATAATTTAGTCCTTAGCTGTTCTTAAAAAGTTCCCCCTAAGTATTTCTGAGTCAAGTTTTTATGGAACCATGAACTATGGTTTGATAATCTGCCATAGTTCAACAGGGAACAAATGCAGCTCTTGTGTTATCCAAGGTGATTTGGGATGGGGAAAGACCTTCGGTATCCAAGAAAAAAATTAAAAGTACTTGCACTAAACAGGTAATTCAGTGCTGGGTAAAGAAACTTCTCCTGATTAAAAAGAGATATACAGCATTTCTCCTCTTCCTTACAACTCACATCTCTCAGACATTTTTTGCTTAGCATTAGAACAGAGGATTTTACATTCACTTTTCACTTTGTGAAAGCGGATAATGTCTTTTTGGAAATGCTGTTAACTATGAAAAGGATATACAGTATTGTGCTTCTTGACTTTTTAAATGAAATAATCTTTTTGTCTATCTTTTTTTAATAGCATAGTTTGCAGATGTGTGTTTATCAGCTGGGAGATATAACACTCATTCATCTTTACATATGGTCAAAAAATAGACCTCTGGGGGATCTACAGTAGATCTACCTGTATGATGTCCTTGCAGTGCCTTTACAGCAGCGATAATGAAGACACTTTCGCCTTCATTTAAAATTAGACAAAAGAAAAAGAAGAAATTTATGTCACCCAGAGTCACCTTATAAGTGAGATGGGCAACATAAAAATTCAATAAATATGTAAAAAGAACTGCAAATGCTGCTTTCTCAAAAGACACCTTTGAGACAATTGTGATCGCGATGACTGAGAATCTCCACAAACAACTGAAAATGTAGTTCTGGCCATACAGTATGCAGATTCTGTTCCTTAATTCTTCCATTTACATATTTGCTTTCAACAGTTATTTACAATTAAATTGTAAATAACTGTTATTTACAATATCTCAGGAGCCCAAAGTCTTTCCACCAATGATTAGACTGATTGAAATTGCCTTCTATTAATAACGGGATTCTTCATCTTGAGAAATATAAACCAATGTTTCACTTTCTGTTCATTTTTAATGTTTCATTGATCAGTGTTTCATGTTGATACAAAGAGACTAAGGTAATTTATTTCTCCCTTTATTCAGGAAGTGTTTGAGAAGGAACAGTCAACCTGTTCAGCTGAAGAGCAGCCTGCAGAGGATGGCGTAAGTTCAAAATATAGGTGTGGATGGTTGTGTTGTAATTCCTTGAAGTTTGTTTAGTAACCGTCGAGGTTTCCTCTTTGAAATGAGTCCTGTTGCTAAATTGCAAGAGTGCCAAATAACTTACGATCATTTTAATCCTTGGAAGGTAAATCTATTTGGAAGGTTAATTTAATCTGATTTCTGTGCTTACAACAGGTGGTCCCCAACTTTTTTGGTACCAAGGACCGGTTTCGTGGAAAACAATTTTTCTACTAACCGGGGTGGGGGAATAGCTTTGGTTTCGCTTGATTCCCTGCCACTCACCTCCACCTATGTGGACCAGTTCCTAACAGGCAATGGATTGGTAGTGGTCTGTAGCCTGTCAGTTGGGGACCCCTGGTTTATAATGTAAATTTTGTGTAAATATTCAGTGGCTTTTGTTAAGAAGGTAGTTGTATGTTAAAAATACATGAAATGATAGCCAGGTGGGGCTTTGCTGGTCTTGTACTTGTGATAACTATGAGCCAGCTGCTGTAGAGCCAGCTGTTCCCTCTAGAGAGGCCCATATTAGTGGTACCTGGTCAGTTGCTTTTCTCCACCAATGCCTGATATTAAATGGTGTGCATTAATTTCTGTTCCGATGCTTAAGGCACTCTGGTGGCTCAAGGACTGAAGTGTAACCATTTTAAATGTTACTACCTTTGCAGCAAGGAGACCTTAATAAATCGAAGAATAAAGGATGGCAACAGAGGAACAAAGGAGCAAAGAAGACTTCCAAATCAAAAAAGAAAAAACTTGTGAAAAAGAAGCCAGTTCCTGCTCCTTTGCTACAAACAAAGCAGCTGAAGCAAAAACAAGCTAATGGGGTTGCTGGGAATGTATGTGTCAATCAAAATGGATTGGGATCTTTATTTTCAGGCGTGTCAAAGTACTTAAATTTCAGAGAAACTGTGGACCAGTTTGTAGTTTAATGAAAAATGGAGAACAATACCAAGCAAAATTGTGTGTGAATTGTAAGCTGCAAAATAATTTGATTTCTGTGAGACCTAACACCTCTGATTAGAACTCATCGACTAAATTTCATATTGGTTAACTGTAGCCTATGGAATGCAGTTGCTGAGCATTATGAAATCCTGATAAGTAATGAAGAGAAGAGGTTCTTTATGATGTTTTACTAAAGGCTGTAGCATATCCTTCCTATTTTAAGTACAGTATCATTTGGCAGCATGCCTTTATTTTTATTTTATTTTACTTTTTTTAAATTAGAGAATGTCTTAAATTTTGCTATAGGAGATTACCCAAAGCAAGCTAAAAAGGAGGCTAATAGAGATTACATATTCATGAGTTGAAATAATATAATACAGGAGTCAAACTCAATTCATTGAGGACCACATCTGGAGTGGGTGTAGCAAGATGGACATGGCCAGCTCGAAATCACTTGTGTCGGGGACGCCTGTGGCGGTCCTGAGCTCCATTTTCGACTGTGACAGCCACCTGCAACCTTCTGCCAGTGAAAATGGAACTTGTGAGTGCCACCTGTGGTCCTTCTGAGCTCCACTTTTGGCTGTAATGGTCTCCTGCAACTGTATACAGCCCTCCTGAGCTCTGTTTTCACTGGCAGAGGCAATGGTGGCTGGTCCTTTGCTCTTTCCAGGGCAGCCCTGTGGGCTAGATCTAAGCACCCTGCGGGCCGGATCTGGCCCCCGTGCCTTAAGTTTGACACTGATCTAATAGACCAAAGGCAAAGGATCCTTTCATTCAAGTTCAACTCTCGGTGATTACGTAGACGCATCTGTATTGTTGCTAGGAAAAGAACATGGAGGTAGTTTGACACTGGCTTCTTCTGGGTTGTCATTTGTATCTGCATTCTAGGACTAATCAGGTTTGATCCTGCTTAGCTTTTATAATTGATCAATCAACATTGGCTACAATTTTCCGCCTGTGATAAATTAGTGCTGTGAATATGTCTGAATGTAAAAAAGTTATACCCTTTTTAAATTTAGGAAATTGTCAAGGATGATGATTACGATGTTTCTGATAAAGGAAGTGAATCTGAAGAAGATGACACCAATCGGGAATCACTAAGTGAGAAAGATGATGGCAGTGACCGAGACTCTGACAGAGAACCAGATGAAAAGCAAAGCAAGGATGATGAAGCTGTAAGATTTATTTTTATTACGTGTTTGAGAAATACCAGGATAGTCATTTAATGTAATCCAAAATCTTTCCTGTGATAAGTCATTCTCATCACTCCATTCAGTGGGGGTAAAGGGAGTGGGTAAACTATTTTATAGTTAATAAAATTAGGTAAAAACCAGTATTGGAAAGTCTTTGTAAAGTATATGAGCTTCCTGTTTCTCTGTAACATGTCTACTTCTGTCCTAATATAGTAATTTCATTTATGAAATCCAAATTTCATTCATACAATGAACTTAGTAAAATGCATTTTAAAATTGGTAGTTCTTTTTCTTTCCAAATTATTAAGATACAAATGCATTGCATTCCTATTTTAATTTACATACCCTTCTCAATCTGCGGAAAAGTTATTGTCTTAAGGAAGACACAAATAAACAGAATACTTTTCTTTTTTTACTAGGAGTGGCAAGAATTACAACAGAGTATACAACGAAAAGAACGAGCTCTCTTGGAAACCAAATCAAAAATAACTCATCCTGTTTACACTCTCTACTATCCTGAGGTCAGCAAAAAGATAGCTAAATAAGCTTGAGATGAACTGAGATGAAGTGAATGCAAAATTTCAGAACAGTTTCTATTTGAGCCTTAAACATTTAATTTCTCAGTAATACCTTCTGAAAAGCAAGGTAGATTTCATAACTAGCACAGTGCTTCGAATTGTGCAAAACCTATGGCTGTTCTTATGCACAGCTATACTGTTTTATGCATTTTCATATTCACTAGAACATGGAAGAACATTATACTGAGAGCATATCCAGTATATTTTGTTAAGGTTAAAGAAGAAGCTATAATCTGTCAAGTTTTCCATCATTTAATGTTGCTTTGTTATTCTTTTAGTATTCTATTTTGTGTCTTTGGCAGAATATTAAACTAGATTCTAGTTCGTGATCATGAGCTAATGTAAATAATAGTTCATCTCTTGTTGTTCCTCTGTTCTCGTAAGCATCTAAATACTGAAGGAGAATTTGTTATAAAATGTGAATCTAAATATATGGCTATTTTTGAAGAAATAATGATTGCATAAACTGCTATAGTCTTGCTATTTTGGATGATTATTTTTTGAATCTTGGGCAGTGCCTTTTCCTTCCTGGTTTCTTTATCTATAGTTGTAAAGTCACAGTGAATAGGCTGTGTGCAGGGGTTGGTAGACCATTCACATTGTGAGTTAATAAGGCTGGATTTCCGATTTCTTGTATCTTCCTTTTAGATTCAATATTTAGATAAATTAGATGGATTTTTATTTAATCAGTCATTAAAATGACAAAGATTGTTCTAATGCTCAATTTGTCACATGTGTATATTGATTCTCGAGCATGACTCCATTTAGTGCCCTAAGAACATTGCCCACTTGATGGGTGCAGATCCAGTTTAACCCAACATATGCTTTGATGCTTAAAGCTTTACTTTTTGTAATACAATTGGTACCTTCACCAGGAAAAGTTTTATTTTTTTGTAATGCAATTTCTGCCTATATAGGGGTCACAGGTCTGATACTTGGAACCATGTTATGCCTTTTCTCAAAATTATGACTCAGCCTATTTCATTGACTATTGGAAGTTAATGTTGCCTTGTTGAGTTTTGCTTCAGACAAAATGAAAGAAACAACTAGAATGCTACGAGAAAACATTGCAGTACATTTTCATTTCTTAACACCAGGACATCTAGTTAGGATGTCAGATTCTGTGTTATAATCCAGAATGTGGGTCAAGCCTGGCAATTGTTTTCACTTCCATTCCATCCCCCCCCCCCCCCCCCCC